GGAGGGAGACTGGCTGGTGAGAGGCAGGTTTCACCTCCTGAAGAGGGGCAGAGGGTCTGTCCTCACCTCTCACGAGCCATATGGGATCAGTGATGAGTGATCTGGGGTCCATCCCTCCCGAAGGATCAGTCCCATCTGGACAGGATCCATGTCTCCTTCAGCAAGGGATGCAGGATGGGCTTTAGGTATCACTGTGTTCCCCTGAAGTCCCGCTTGCTGCAAGGGATCTTGATGTAATCTTTGCCTGAGGTGCCTGTGAGGCCATTTCTTACACACAGGAGAACAGCAGCAGCTTGAGCTTCTGGGGTCCATCCCTCCCGAAGGATCAGTCCCATCTGGACAGGATCCATGTCTCCTTCAGCAAGGGATGCAGGATGGGCTTTAGGTATCACTGTGTTCCCCTGAAGTCCCGCTTGCTGCAAGGGATCTTGATGTAATCTTTGCCTGAGGTGCCTGTGAGGCCATTTCTTACACACAGGAGAACAGCAGCAGCTTGAGCTTATGGAAAAGCACTTTCAAATTGCTCCTGACCCTGAACTGCATCCTGTTTGGAAGGAATTGCTCTATAAAGGTCACCCAAGCCTCATCCTTGACCTGTAAGAGCTGCATGTGGGCTCTGTTAGCCACACACTCCCTGCCTGAAGCAGCTGGGCTTTGACCAGAGGCTTTTCAGGGGTCTTTGCAACCTTTGTACTGCCAGGGATGAATCTGTGGATGCTCCCAACAAACACGGCTGTAATCCACGTTAGGTGCCAAAAACATCTTTATTAGCAAAGTGTGCACTAAAACTCCAGAGAAAGAGATGCTCACAGTTTTACTACTCTCAAAGGGAGCTCGATACATTACTTGAGCAGGTGGCCTAGGACTGTCACAGCATCTAACTCAGTGGCAGGTGGCAGTGCTAAGTGGGCTTCTCCTATGGGGGGTGCTGGGGGAGTCTGCCAGGGAAAGGGCTGGGGAGGAGGAAGCATCTATCAAACCTTTTATCAAAAGAGAGAAGCTGGGAGGAAGGGCTGGAGATGAGGTGTCTGGGGCTTCTCAGCTTTCTGGGATTGTGCTTTTGAGTTTTGTGCTTTACGCCCAGGCCGGTGACCAGTTGGGTTTATCAGGGGAGTGGTGGGATGTGTGTTGGGGTTTGCAGGGAGCCATCAGCCTTGCTGGAGAAGTCAGTGCCCTAGGACTCGTGCTAAAGCATGCTGAAGTGGCAGGAACTGTTGGCCCTTAGTTTCTCAGTGGCAGTCAAGTAGGACTAGGATAGCTTCTGTCCTTGTTCTGGGCTTCCCACCTGCAGCTCCCCCCAGCAGTGCTGCACTTTGGAGATCTCCTGCTCCTCTGGTGACACCCCTTTCTGAAATGCTCCTCTGTGCTAAGCCCATTACCAACAATATGGTCCCTGCTCCAAAGAGCTGGCAGCAAAGTGGCCTCGCAGCAAAGAGCTGTGGATTTGTTCTCCTCCGCTCCCTGTGGCTTGTGCCGTTCCCGAGAGGAAGCCTTGGCAAGGAAGAGGAGGTGGGTCCTGTTTGCCTGCGCCAGCTTGTTGGTGGCCACAAGAAAGAATTTGCTCTGGGTTCACTATAATGTGCAAATGGAATCTACTCTATGGGAACGGCTGGAAAACGTTGACCTTGGAAGCTTCCTTTCTATGCTTCCTTTCCCGGTGGCAGAAGACAGCTACAAATTATACCCCTGAGCCAGTGGCATTGTCCTCTTGTTTTACCCTTGCAGTCAAAATCAACATCAACTGACCAGGCTTGCAGTTGAGGTTCCTCTTGACTTGCTTCTCAGCCCTCACGTCTCTAACTTCCAGGCAGGAGTGGGTCGGAGACGTGTCTCTGAATGTCCTGGTGCTCGGAAGGTGCCTCCAAGTGCTCAGGGAGGGAAGGGAAACGAGAACCCCGGAACAGTCCCTGGGTATTTGGTGCCATTTGGTGGGGAGGCTCTGGGTTCAGGAGAAGTGGGGAATGGTGCTCCTGCTCAGAGTAGGCTGTCATGGTTTCATCAGATGCCACAGCGTGGTGCATCCCGCTCGACGAGGAATCCCTGGATTTCAGCTGGAACTTTTCCATCTCTGTGTAGCTAGGGCTCTGGTGGGACAGGAGGGACCAGCTGGGTTATGGCAAAAGCAAAACAAAGCAGCCACCCTCTCTCCTCACCCCATCAGGCTCCAAACCCCAAAATGTTGTCTTTTGCTTAAGGCAGCCTCAGAGGAGAGGAACTCTGCTCCCTCCTGATGGATCAGTGAGACCCCCCCTGGAGGGCTGTGTCCAGTTCTGGGCTCTCCAGTTCAAGAGGGACAGGGATTTACCTGAGAGAGTCAAACTGAGGCTACGAGGATGATTAAGGGATGGGAACACGTGTCTGATGAGGAAAGGCTGAGAGACCTGGGGCTGTTCAGTCTAGAGAGAAGAAGACTGAGAGGGGTTCTTATTAATGTCTATAAATATCTGCAGGGTGGGTGTCAAGAAGAAGGGGTCAGTCCCTTTTCAGTGGTGCCCAGTGATAGGACAAGGGGCAATGGATGCAAACTGGGACACAGGGAAGTTCCACCTCAACGTGAGGAAGAACTTCTTTCCTGTGAGGGTGACAGAGCCCTGGGACAGGCTGCCCAGGGAGGCTGGGGAGCCTCCTTCTCTGGAGAATTTCAAGGCCCATCTGCAGGTGTTCCTGTGTGACCTGCTCTAGATTCTGCTCTGGCAGGGAGGTTGGACTTGATGATCTCCAGAGGACCCTTCCAACCCCTACCATCCAGTGATGCTGTGACAACCTGGTAGCTCTGGAGCTGGCAGGCTGTGCTCCAAAAGGAGCAACACCTCACCTGGGGCAGGAGCATCTCTAGGTAGATCTGCTCCTATTCCAAGACTGTGCTTAACCTGGCACTTGCAGGGAGGCTGGAGGGAACCTTTGGCCCTCCAGGACCCATCTGCTCAGGCCAGTAGGCAGTGCTGAGCCAGGAGGGGTGTCCTTACCTGCTCCAGGGTTGTCATCTCCTCGTCCTCCAGGGCTGTGCGGGGGGCGAGCGGCTCCAGGCTCCGCGGGAGGATCCCGTACATGGCCAGGTTGTGGGAGGAGGGGGAGATGGGGCTGTAGGCGGGTGGCACTTGGGACAGCTGGCGCTGCAGGAGCTGCAGGATTATATTAATGTCTGACGACATCCTGGACTCCAGCCTGGGGACAGAGCAGCCCGGTTAGCACCGCCCGTCCCGCACATCCCCCGGGAGCCAGGAGGACCTGCCAGCTCAGCTGCCCCTGGAGGGGATGGATGATGGGTTTTTTTTTGCCCAGGGCTGCTTGGCGAGGTTTTTTGGGTTGTTTTTTTTTTTAGCAGAGCTTCAAAGAAGAGAGATCAAACTTGCCCCTCCCCCCCC